CTCCTCCTCCTCCTCCTCCTCCTCCTCCTCCTCCTCCTCCTCCGCCTCCCCCTCCCTCTCATCCCTCACCTCCTCTTCCCTCTCCTCCTCCTTCTTCGAAGTGCAGACTCAGTGCACGCAGTGCCGTTGGTCGGCGGCGCAATCCCATAGGCGACTTCGACGGGGAGTTCGGGGCAGAGAGCGCAGCGGACGCGGATTCGGGGGGGGGTTCTCGGTCCTCGGGGTTCTGGGCAGGGTTTCCGGGGCTTCGGGGGGTCGGTCCAGGCGCAAGATATGGAGCCCCACGGATGGGCACGGCACGCCGGGGAGTGTCGGAATCTATAGCGAGAGTTCCTCGCGGGCCCTGAGGACCATTCTGCGTGGTGAGTCAGTGGTGGTTCGGGGTCACACGGTTTTGGGACTCGGGTTGTTTCCGGGGACGTCCTGGGCGACCGGGGCGTCCGAGGTCCCAAGGCCGTGCGGTCAAGGGCCGCGCGGTGGAGCTTCTTGGTGGTCCGAGGCCACCGCCCAGTCCGTCACGGGTTTGGGGGGCCCCCCCGTTCCAGAGGGCCTGTGTTGGACCCCCGAGTTCCAGCCGGGCCCGTGAACCGAAGAAGACGTGTTGTTCAGGGTTGCCCGTGCGTATCTCCATGGCGCGTGGTTGCGTCGCACCGCCCCAGAGGCAACTGTTCTACGATCGGTGGTGTGTCGCTTTTCGCGGAAGACGTTGTCGCAGAAGCCTCTTAAAATTCGCGGTTGTCAGCCTAGCAAGTTATTCAGAAGGGGCCATGGTGCCTCTGCGTACATTCCAGAAAGTGTGAGTTAGCTGATATCGGCTCCATGGGTGGTGCCGCATTCATAATGTGGCGAAGGCAGCACTTTTCATATCCCGTTCACTTCTCCATGCTTTCGGCTTGTCTCCTCCGCCTCTACCTCCTTCTCCCTCTCCCCTCGTTCTCCCCTTTGATGCTGCCAATGGCCAACAATATTCTAGAATGAGCGATCCCACAGCATGGCTCAGCGTTGGTGCTGTCACATATTTCTTCAGTCTTGCTGTTGGTGTTTCCGTGGAGTAGCCCAGACACCCACGTTGAGGACGGACGACTTCATCTGATGTTTCGCGGTCAGTCCCTTCAGCCTTCCCTTCCTTTTTCCAAAACTGCGTTGGAAAATAAAATCGCAGCATGTTCAGAATCGTGCGCGTAAGAGACGGAATATGTTTCCCCCATCAATTTTGAAACAAGAGCTCCCATGACGCGGTCCGTAGCAGCGTCGGCTCAAAGAAGTCTTCCGGCCAGTGGGCCGCCACATTCCAATGGGCGACGCATGCTCTCGCCGCAGAGACGCCACTTCGGCAGACGCAGGCTTGGGGAACGGCTTCGCGGACGCAGAGGACCACGAGGCGGGCGTACGCGCGCGCGCACAGCATGGCAGCAGCACCACATGTCCACCGGCTGACCGCAAGACCAGGGTTGGGAAGAATGGGATGTGGGAAGAGCAGGGGCTTGGATGAGATCAGGGCTTACCCCCCAGAATGTCGGGAGGATGGGCAGCTGGAGGGCAAAGTCCCCATGGCGCACCTCACCAAAAAAACGGCGCGACACCAGTCAGGGAAATCACTGTGCTGAAGGCAAAAATCCGCAGCGCAGTTCAATGCAAAAAAATGTGGTCTATCACAGTGTGACACACGCACTTCTCTCACTGTGCAAGCCTAGGGTGTTTGCATCGGGCCTGGCAGGCCGTGTGAGGCTGCGTGCGATTGGCAGTGCTCACGGCACTTGCGATAGCTCAGTGGCTTCACGATTGCGTCGCCGAGTTTGTCATCGTGCTGCTGTGTTCGCTCCACCTCTCCTCCAAAAGTGCGCTGGCAAAATCGCAAGACAGCTCGCCGCTTGGGCCCCACCGCCAGCCCAAACGGCGAGCATAAGTCGGGTGTAGCCCCGCACGTATTCGAATGCCCACACTTCGTCCTTGTACTACTCGTATTCCTCTCCATCCTCCTCCCCATCCTGATCGTCGTCGTCTTCCTCCTCGCCCTCCTGATCCTCCTCGTCGTCCTCCTGCTCCAGCTCCTCCCCGTCGTCCTCGTCTAAGACCTCGTCTTCGTTTCTCTTCCTCCTCCTCCTGCTCATCCTCCTTCTCCTGGCACCTTGGTTACGCCATATGTTGCGCCCGCGGCGACCGAGAAGAAAACCGTTTCCTATCGGTGGCGCCTTAGGTTGCGCCCTCGGCGGCCGAGAAGAGAACCGCCTCCTATCGCTGGCGCCATAGATTGCGCCCTCGGCGGCCGAGAATAAAAGTGCCTCCTATCCGTTGCGCCATAGGTTGTGCCCTCGGCGGCCGAGAATGAAACCGTCTCCTATCCGTTGCGCCATAGGTTGCGCCCTGAACGGCCGAGAAAGAAGTGTTTCCCGTCGGTTGCACCATAGGTAGCGCCTTCGGCGGCCGAGAAGAAAACCGTCTCCTATCGGTTGCGCCAAAGGTTGCGCCCTCGGCGGCCGAGAATGAAACCGTCTCCTATCCGTTGCGCCACAGGTTGCGCCCTGAACGGCCGAGAAAAAAACGTCTCCCATCGGTTGCACCATAGGTAGCGCCTTCGGCGGCCGAGAAGAAAACCGTCTCCTATCGGCTGCGCCAAAGGTTGCGCCCTCGGCGGCCGAGAATGAAACCGTCTCCTATCCGTTGCGCCATATTTTTGCGCCCTGAACGGCCGAGAAAAAAACGTCTCCCATCGGTTGCACCATAGGTAGCGCCTTCGGCGGCCGAGAAGAAAACCGTCTCCTATCGGTTGCGCCATAGGTTGTGCCCTCGGCAGCCGAGAAGAAAGCTGTCTCCTATCGGTTGCGCCATAGGTTGCGCTTTGGCGGCCGAGAAAATAACGCTCCCTATCGGTTGCGCCTCAGACTGCGCCCTGTTTCCCATCGGTTGCGCCATAGCTTTCGCCCTCGGCGGCCGAGAATAAAACCGTTCCCGACCGGTTGCGCCATATGTTGCGCCCTCGGCGGCCGAGTGTAGAACCGTCTCCTATCGGTGGCGCCACAGGTTGCACCCTCGGCGGCCGAGAATAAAAGTGTCTCCCATCCGTTGCGCCATAGGTTGCACGCTCGGCGGCCGAGAAGAAAGCCGTCTCCCATCGGTTGCGCCACAGGTTGCGCCTTCGACGGCCGAGAAGAGAACCGTCTCCTATCGGTTGCGACAGAGGTGGCGCCCTTGGCGGCCAAGAACAAAACCGTCGCGTAACGGGTGCGACCAGTCAGTTCAGCTCAGCCAGTTTACCTCGCGAGAAGCAAATTCGGGCTGCGCCCGAAGTGAACCCGGCGCGACCCCAATCAGGGGAAAGTTTCCTATTGCATGGGCGCAGTGTTCAGCATTGGTCGGCGTTGCGTAGCACTGCTCGGCACTGCCGAGGAATGCGAGCAATCTCCTGGGAGTCTCTGGGTAACGGGCGACGTGCCCCCCCCCCGAGGCACCACTCTTCTTGACCAAGTAAGCCTCCCTTGGGCAAACCGCATGGGGGGAAGCATTGTACACGTTGGCGTCGCGTGAGACCAAGCACCCAGGGCAACCCCGTGGGCCCAGGAGCTGAGAGAGCGCAGGCGACCCCATACGAGCGTCACAGGAGCCCCAGGCGACGATTGAGAGCCTCAGGGCCAGGGCAGCCATGGCCACCGGGACCGTTGCGTGAAAGAACAAGGACTCTTTGAGGCAGGCTCTGATTCCCCAATTATGCTTGCCTGAGGGGTTCTTGCTTGATGAACGGTTGGTGCCTCTGGGGCTTACTTTGCCCGTTCACCGGAGATTCCTCGGGTTCCCCAGGTTCCCTGGGTTCCCGGGTTCCCCGGGTGCACTATGCCAAGCAAGGCCAAGCAGTGCGCCCATGCAACAGGAAATGTTTCCCCTACTTGTGGTCTTGCCTGGTTCACTGAAGAAGCGAAGCAGTGGATAGCGATGATGTGCGCGCTGTTGTTGCTAAGGCGGCTCCCGCCCTCGCTCTGATGCCTGCTCTTGCGCAGGGCATCCGAACTATACAGCTTACAAGGCATACAGGGCTTGGAGGGGTAGGGATTATGGGGCACGCGCTGCACAGCCCACGCATGATGGCACGCGTGGCATAGTGCGCGCGGCTTGGCACTCACTGCAAGGCACGCGCGGAACGCACGGCACACACGGCACGCTCAGCACGGCCCGCGCGGCAAGGCACGATCAGAGTTGCCTTCGCGGCAAGTTTGCCGCGTCGCAGCATGCGCGGCGAGGGCATGGCGCGATCGGCACGGCCGGCGGCATGGCGTGGCATTGCACAGCTCGGCCTTGTGCGACATATGGGGCGCTGCAGCAATGTCCGTGCTTTCGAAGATCTGAGGAATTGACATCTCATTCCTCGGCGGAAGACGGCGGAAGAGCGTTCGAAGCTTGCGGAAGCAAACAGGACCGGCTCCGCCGGCGGAAGGCAGCGGCAGTTCGGCGGAAGCTTGCGGAAACAGGTCGACAGCCTTATCGATTCAAGGATTTCTCGGCCGCCCTTTTTCCGAGCTGGGTCGCAATTCCCAGCCCGACCGTGCGCAACGGCTCCCGTGCGCCATATGTCCGTGCCGCCTGGGCCCCTCACGACCGTCCTGAAGGTGTATTGGACGCAGTGTCGTGACGAAAAAGGAAGCCGGTGGAAGTAAAAGGCGCGCCCCAAAGAGATGACAACATGTTTTGTTTCACGGTTTCGGGAGACCGCCATAAGCGTCCCAGGTGAAGGGAGTTCTTGGTAGCAGCAAAGGGAGTTGTACAGAGTTATTCTCTTGCACATGGTGTCTAGAGCTCCGACCACTTTATTTCGGCGTCGTCGCACCGCCCTCACGCGTTGATTTCATGTCAGCGTCGCCCCGACCGCACCGCACCGCCCCGACCGCACCGCCCCGCCCCGCCCCCCCGCCCCCCCCCCCAGCAGCCAAGCGCACCACCCCCTGCGCCGCGACCACTTTATTTTGGCGTCGTCGCACCGCCCCCCCCCTCCCCCGTCGCACCGTCCTCACCCCCCCGCGCCCCTCCAACTCCCCAGCAGCCCGTTCGGCGTCGTCGCACCACCCTCACGCGTTGACTTCATGTCAGCGTCGCACTTCCCCCCCCTCCCCAGCCGCCCAGCGCACCGCTCCCTCCGCCCCGACCACTTTATTTCGGCGTCGTCGCGCCCCCCCCACCCACCGCCCTCTCCCCTCCCCGCCGCCCCCCCCTCTGTCCCAAGCAGCCCAGCGCACCGCCCCCTCCGCCGCGACCACTTTTATTTCGGCGTCGTCGCACCGCCCTCACCCCCCCCGTCGCACCGCCCTCACCCCCCCCCGCCCCCCCCCCCCCAGCAGCCCAGCGCACCGCCCCCTCCGCCGCGACCACTTTATTTCGGCGTCGTCGCACCGCTTCCCCCCCCTCACCTCCCCCCGCCCCGCTCCCCCTTCGCCACCTCTCCCCAGCAGGAGAGCGCACCGACCCCTCCGCCGCGACCACTTCATTTCGGCGTCGTCGCACCGCCTTCACCCCAGCGTTGCCCAGCAGCGTTAACTTCATGCCAGCGTCGCATCGCCCCGACCGCACCGCTCCGCCCCCTACCCGCCCTCCCCCCCTCTCCCCAGCAGCCCAGCGCACCGCGCCAGAGTGGGACCCCCGCGCCGTGGCTCTCTGCCCCGAGCCCCCCCGCGTCCCCAGCGCCCCAGCGGGAGCCCCGCCCACTGCCCCCTCCGCCACGAACGCTTTATTCCGCGTCGCGACGCACACCACCTCCCCCACCTCCCTCCCCGCGTCCCCAGCGCCCCAGTGGGGGCTCCGCCCCGTGCCCCCTCCGCCCCGACAATTTATTCCGCGTCGCGACGCACACCACCTCCCCCCCTCCCCCCCCCGTCCCCAGCGCCCCAGTTGGACCCCCGCCCCGTGGCCCTCTGCCCCAAGCCCCGCCCAGTGCCCCCCCCCCCAGCCCCGCGCCCCAGTCCACCGCTCGACGCAGCCACGCGGATGGGATTTGGGCCCCGTTGCTGGGCACCGAAGGGCGATGTCTTGCCCCCTCTTCCCCCCTCCTCCCTCCTCCTCCTCCTCCTCCTCCTCTCTCCTCCTCCTCCTCCTCCTCCTCCTCCTCCTCCTCCTCCTCCTCCTCCTCCTCCTCCTCCTCCCCCTTCTCTTTTGTGCAAGAGTCATGGCACACGTGCCACTTGTTTGTGTCACTGGGCAAACCCAGTCGGCCTGCCCGTGGTCTTCGGACCGGCTAACCTCTGCCGAACCCGCGGATGTCGGCGCCGCGGTGTTGGCCGCGGCGGCTGCCGAGGTGAGTTGCGTGAGCGAGTCGGAGGCCCCAGAAGCCCTGTACGACTTTGCGAGGCGCGGCAAGGCTGCCGAGGCAAGCCTGCTGCTGGACCGAGGCCTCAGCCCTGACGCCTTCATGGCCTACGACGGCGGCACCGCCCTGGTCACGGCTGCCCGCGGCGGGCACGCGTCCGTCGTGGAGCTCCTCCTGCGCCGCCGTGCGTCCCTGGACGTCCACACCGACGACGGCAGCAGCGCCCTCCTGCACGCCGCGCACGGCGGCAGCTGCGCCGCCCTCGCAGCTCTGCTGCGAGCCCGCGCCGACCCGGGCGAGGCGAACGAGGACGGCGTCACGCCCCTGATGCTCGCCAGCGACAGGGGGCACCGGGAGGCCTTGCGGCTGCTGCTCGGCGCTGCCGCCGACGTGGGGGCCACCGCGGACGGCTTCGGCTCGGCGTTGGACTTCGCCGCACGGTCGGGGCACGAGGAGGCCGTCGCCGTGCTGGAGTCCGCTGGGGCACGGGCGGCTGGCGCGGGCCTGGACCTCGGGCTGGAGCGGAGGATGGCGGCTGGCGAACGGTACGGTTACGATGCTTTCGACGGCGAGGCGGGCCATCCCGTTGGAAGAGAGCATGTCTGAAGATCTGTTGCGGTCGGGGTGGTACTGCGTCCATCGGGGAGTTGCATGGCTCCGGCACGCTCAGAAACTTGGGGATCTGGCGCGAGAGCCGTTTGGGGCAACCCCCAGGCCCACTCGGATCATGAACCAGCCCGGTCTACGGTGTGCAGACAGCAGACATGTTCTCTTCCAATTGTCTCACGGGGGAAGCTCAGTCCCTCTTGATTCGTGACCTCCGAGCTTCACCGTTGGCACTGGCAGGGGAAGGCGGCCCAGCTTTCCAGACAAATGTTGTGATGGATTTTGGCGTGCCTTGTTCAGGTTTTCCCAGCCTCGGAGAAAGTGGAAGTCTGAAGGGGGCCTCAGTTTCCCCTGCGGTCACTGATGTTGTTGACTGGAGAATCCCGTACGTGGCGTCGAAAATGTACTTCCAAGTACTGGCGTGGCGCATGTGTACGCACCATTTGCACTGGTCGATCGGTTAGTCTAGTCTCTCTCTCTCTCTCTATTTCTCTCTCTCTCTCTCTCTCTTTCTATGTTTTATTCCTTCTCCTATAGTAGAATTCCCGGGGATGGCCCCCACCCCTCCGTCACCTAACGATTTTCGGTCACTTCGCGCACACCCGGCGCTTTCAACACGGAACCGAGATGGACCCCGATCGTTTCCGTGGTCCCCCCAACGACCAAGACGCCCCAGGCGGTCGTTGCAATATAATCCAAAAGCCTCCAAAACGGCCCGCGCTGGCGTCATTACAGCCCACAATACCCCAAATACACTTCACACTGGCCCCCGAAGAGGACAACGCTCCCCCCCTTCCTGCGGGGAATGGATCGAAGGGAACGGGCTTCGTTGAATTACGACGTTGCTTAATTTCGCTGTGGCTGACGCGCCTGAGAAAGCAGGCCCGTTTTGAGGCGCTTGCTTCCACAATTCTGGATTTGCTAACGCGCCTGAGGAGCCGGGCCCAGGGAAGAGAGAGGGGAGCGGTGACTGCGTCTTCCACACGCCGACATGGTCGGCGGATTTCCAGCAAAATCCGTTCCTTCGGTGTCATGGCGTCCCAGACCACCCGAGAAAGCCCAAAGATCGCCCCAAGACGGTCCAAGAAATTACCAAAACGTTTTAAGAAAGCTCAGGACGAGCCCAAGAGACTCCCAAGATGGCCCCACCAGAGGCCCAAGATGAGGAACTCAGAGGTCTCCAAGCTCTCCACCCCAATATGGCCCCAAGAGCCCGCCAGAGGCCCACCAGACGTCCCCAAAAGGCCCCAGGAGACCTCCAAAAGGCTTCCAAGAGGCCTCCAATGGCCCCAGCAACGCATTCAAGAACGCCTCACGGAGTTTCCAAAATGCCTTGAAGAGTAGTCCAAAAGTTCTCGAAGGTCGCCAAGACCATCGCCAAGAAGCCAAGCCGCCGCTGAGCGACAGAGCGCGGCCCCCAGCACAGCCTCCTTCCGCCGCGGACCGACCGCGCACGGTTCCCAGCCCAGCCGCTCTCAAGAGTTATGAGCAGCCCCACCAGGGGGCAAAATAATTTCGCTCCGAAGGCCAGCGCGTCGTGCCAGGCCAAATGCGCGCCGACGTTTGGACACCTCCCAGAGCATTCGGAGGCCCCCCCAAGGCTCCCCGAACCTTCGGAAGAGCCCCCAGGCCCACGAAGCATCCAGATCGGCCCAAGACGGCCCATGAGGCCCTTAAGAAGGTCCCAAAATGGCAACTTGGCCCAATAACCCCCAAGACGGCCTCAGAGGACCCCAAGACAGCCCAAGAAAATCCCCAACGGGTGCCCAAGACAGGGCATACGCGCTGACACTTCGAGCCTTTCCCCCAAGACGCCCGCCCGCCTCATGCGCGGAAGACGCCCCCCACCCTGGAATTTGTCATTAGTTCCAACGCCGCAGTCTTACCCGATCGCCTGTCTTTGAGCGCTCGTGCCTGTATGCGCACAACCACCGCGGTGTCTATCCATACGCTCCTGCACAAAGACCAGTTCGGAGCGCCCCACGCAACGATTCTCAAAGTTCGCTTTTGAAAAGAAGCCCTGATTCGACGGCGCGCGAAGCGCGCTCATGAAACCTTGTTTATAGTTGTGCGTATGCGGGTAAATGCGCAGATGCATAAATCTATACATATATGGTTGGCTACGTATACGTGTATGCATATGTATATGTATGTGAATGGGTTTGTGTACATGTGTATATGTATGTGTGTGCCTGCATGTGTGTATGTAGATGCATGTGAATACCAATATGTATGTGTGCATGTGTATGTGTAGATGTATGTGTATGTGTATGTGCATATGTGTATGCATATGTATGCGTTTGTGCATATGCATGTATACATATATGTGTGTATCCCTTCTTCTCTCGAAATCACTCCTCCCGCTCCCGAAGTCTCTTCTCTGTTCTTGCATCAATCGGCATTCCGCTAAGGTACAGCTATATACATACAGAGATATACACACATACATATGCAGCTCTACCAATGTACCATGAGTTTCTTGGATTCCATCCTGTTCGTCATGGCTCTTACCGCCAGGTACCTCGTGGTCTCATTTTCGGTGTCCACATCTTGCCATTTCTGCTGCTTGAGGTTTTCGTTGAAGTGGTACTTCTCCCTGTTCTCGCACATAGTTACCGTGCCCGACGACGTGCCCACCATCAACCAGGACATCGCTGCATCATCAAGTCATCCATTCCTCCGACGAAGTGCTCACTGGGAGTCGGCGCAAAGCCGCCAGATTTAGGAGCAGCAGCAGTAGGAGCAGGTCTCCCCACCTCGGCAGCCTTGACAGTTGAAAACTCGTCACGACCTGGCGCGCGCGCAGAGACACCTTCTGTGCCGCCCTGCGACCGCCCCAAGAAATGTGGGTCTGGGGTGGGAATGTACATCGCGTCGCGAGATTGGGGTTTCGGATCTCCCAGTCACGCACGAGAGAACGGCCCTCCGTTGTTCGGGCCGGGTCGCCAGGGCTGGCCAGCCTAGACTCGCTTGGACCCTGTGTCAGAATCTCCCGTCCGAGGGCCCAGTTGCGCCGAGAGGGGGGAGCCGGATGTGGAAGATGAGTGGCGCCAGCATTGGGCATTGGGAGAATGCCCACCCAGACAAGTCGATTGAGACAGTGCATTGGTTCATTCGACATTGGCATTCGAGTGTGCCGCTGCAGTCCTCAGCCGGTTTCGCTAAGCGACGTGCGTCTCGCTGGATACATCCGTTTGTTGATGGACGTCGATTACCTATCCCGCTGGGGTCCACACAGAAATGCGGTGCGGTGCGCACGCGGAGTGCTCCTGACAGCTTTCCATAAAGAGGGTTCGGCTGAAGGGTGTCCTGTCCATCTTCGACGGTGGCGACAGTAGTCTCCTCATGCAGGGCAGCTCTCTCGGCTGCCGCGCTTCTCTCTCTCCCACACACACACGCACGCACGCACGCACGCACGCACACACACACACACACACACACACACACACACACACACACACACACACACGCACACACGCACGCACGCACGCACGCACGCGCACGCACCCACGCACACACGCACACGCACACGCACACGCACACACGCACGCACGCACGCACGCACACTGTTTGCGACGCGCCCTCGCCTCGCAGCGCCGAGGCGTAGAGGATCGGAGCTAGGAGCTGAAAGCGCGCGCGGCAGGCCCACGCAGAGGCCAGGAGGCAGAGGGTCCTCCTCCTCCTCCTCCTCCTCCTCCTCCTCCTCCTTAGCCTCCTCCTCCTCCTCCTCCTCCTCCTCCTCTCCTCCTCCTCCTCCTCCTCCTCCTCCTCTCTCCTCCTCCTCCTCCTCCTCCTCCTCCTCCTCCTCCTCCTCCTCCTCCTCCTCCTCCTCCTCCTCCTCCTCCTCCCACCCGAGGGGATCAGCCAACCGTGTCGTACGCCAACAAGGGCCAGGGCAGCGAGGGGGGGGCAGGTCAGCGGCACCGCAACGGGTGCTCACTGACGGGCAGTCTTGGAAAATTGCCGGAAGTTGGCACTTTGGGGCCCCTTTCTCTGGCATGGCAGCGCTGCCCACATCGGGGAGGAGTGGGTTCGCAGGGTCACTATTCAGAGTACCCGTTAGTGGAGTCCCCGTTGGAGGGGGCTGGGCAGCGACTTGTCTCCCACTCACTCAGCGAAAACGAGTTTTCGTGCGCTGCTCTTGTGGCGTGATGGTCTGCAAGCCTGTTGCCTGCAATAAATAGGGCACCAGTGTCGTCCACGACTTGGGATTCATCTCTGTGGGCTTTCCCACGCACGAAACTAACGACACGATCCGCACCAGTCATACGACTCATGGCCCTCCACAAATGACCCTGCATGCACGTAGGAGCAAAAACTGAGGCAGGGCGGCCTAACAAAACCTGGCAATCGACGTGGAGCTCGGATGTCTCCATGCCATCTTCGCTAAATACACAGGCCAAAACCGCTCCAGCATGTTCCCCCGATACCGCCGTCTGGGAGAGAGTGAACGGTAAGCCAGCGCACCAATGTTTAATAAGGTTGCCGTCATCGTCAGTTTGGACAACCGCACATCCAGCACGGGCCAGGGTCCATGCAAAACGAGGGTGGATGCAGCTCCCATCTGAAACCAGACGGACCCCAGGAGGGAAATAAGAAGGTTCGGCCGAATCGCCGTTTTCGTCAAAAAAATGTGATGTGCCAGCTCGAGCCTGGGGTGGTCAAATCAAGACGCGCCGCCCATCCAAACGTGAACAGGGGATGCCCATCCCCAGCCCCACAGGCCTGTCGGACCATAGGGCCTAGCTCATTCTCACGCACAGCCTGGCTGTGGCTGCATGTCCAAACTCGGTGCCACACCGTACCTGGGCGGCCGCAGGAAACGCAATTCTCTTCTAGTTGGAATCCCCAGCTGCAGAGCTTGACCCTGGTGGGCAGACAAACACAGAACACCTGAAGGAACAGAAGCGCCTCACGAGCGCTAAGTTCCAGGCGGCGGGAGGCAAGAGCGTTGCGAGTGAGTTCCCACCAGAGCCTTCGGGATTGGATATCGGACCATCCAGGTCCAGAACGACGCATATTCGCTTCCATCGCTCGTCGGATCAGCGTGCTTTTGAGCTGGCCGACAAAAAGTTCACGCACAGATGCTGAGCTGTGCGTGGTGAGGATTATTTCAATCCCATCGACAATCTCGAAAGCTAGCAGGTCCATGGATACCCCACCCCGCTTCAAGCACTTTTGACGAACCCCCTCTTTGTGGGGGCTTCTAAAATACGGCACAATGCAGAGTGAAACGGTTGGCTGAGGATATTTGCAGACAAGGTGTCTTCGTGCACGTGCTGCTCATCATGGCCAAGGGATGCCGATAGCATCCACCCCACCAGTCCTCTGCATATCGGATCAGTGGCATGGCCGCAACATCCGACGGGTCCCCCGCCCCCGAGCAAACCCAAACCAGGCCAGCCGCACCCCCTCGAATAACTAGCTATGCCACTGGCCCGAGCAGCTGCCGAGCGCAGCCGCTTCACTTGGTGTGGGGAAAATCCAACAACTCCCCCCCCCCCCGTAGACAAGGTCAGGTTTTACATTGGTTTGGAACAGGCGGCCTCGAGACTTGCTTTTAATATGGAGGGCTTGCAGCTTCTTCCGACGCTGATAAAATGTCCGACAACGCTTATTTCGAACCTTCAAAATCGATTGGCCTCGACGGGCCCTCCCTCCAGTGAAATCGACCCCGAGGTGAGAGACACTATACGCACCTCCTCCTCCCAGCTTCCCCAACGCTCGTTCTGCTTGGCGCAGAAGCTGGGGGCTGGTGGCTGTCATGCCGAATGTCTCAATTGCCATTGGGAGGTGGAGGTTGTCCTGGAGGTACCTAGACATGCTGGCAGCCAAACTGTACATGGTGTCACAGACCCATCGAGTCGACTATCCCCAAACTTGGAGAAAGAGGTCATCTATGTGCAAGCTTTGGGATGTCTATTCAGGCCAGAGAAGCGCGCACTGCTCCATTCCTGGCTTGAGGTGAAGGTTGGCTTCAAAAGTGGCTGTGCTGCGGCCTGCCACCATCCCTCTGGATGCCCAGAGGTCGCCAGAGAATATGCCGCCGTAAAGTAGCAAGCGGGCCCACCCGTAAGAGGCGAGGGCGACGTCGACAAGGTCGAATGGGTAGTTTGACAATTTGGCGAACTGTCGAAGCTTATCCCTGGGCACGTGTCCGTAAAATGTTTTGAATATCCCACAGGAGGTGAAGGATGTGGAGCCTCTTCTCCGAGACCCATTCAGCTCGGACAGAAGCCCTCCAGACCGAATCGGATGCTGCGCGCTTTTGGGTAGCAGAAAACCCACCCCCCACACCGAACTCAAAGTGCCACGACCTGGTTCTGTGTTTCTGCACCGCTCCGAACAGCCTGGGGAATGATTTGTGTTGGCCAATGGGTCTTCTGACATCCCCTTCAGAAAGACATCTAGGTGCTGCGCGCTGGTTGGGAACTTACCCACCATGATGATGGCATGCAGCACGAGCGAGACGCAGTATAAAGCACGAACGTGCAGCAGGCTGTAGTGCTTTGGATGGTACCCGTCTGGTCGACAGGTGGCAGTCTTGAAGTTCCTAGAACACGCTCTGATGTGCTCGACTGAAGCAAGGCCAGGGACAGCCACAGGAGGTCCTGTGGGTCCCCTTAAAACTGGTGGTTCGTAACTCGCTTGCCAGGCCTGCTTCCAGACTTCCTCCTGGGCTTTCAGACGGGCCTGGACTGAAAGCGAAGCTAAAACGAGAGGGGCCTCAGAGGCCTGTCCTTTGGGTTCGGGCCGAAGGCCTGGCTTCCCTTTCGAAAAATTGCGGGCCATCGTGGCCCTTCCTTCTAAAGCCTCAGTGCACCATTCTTTCCAGCGGCAGTTGGCGGCCACTCTGCTGGAGGGGTGCACGTTGTCTCGCAAGTAACTGACAAATTGAATGGCTCGCGGGGGGTCCTACAGTCTTCGTGACGGGGCAGCGGTGCACAAAGCGCCGACATAGCTCAGGAGGGGGTGCCAGAAGCTGCAGCTGGCCTGCTAGTACTTGCGCTGAGCAGAGGCGGAGGGACAGGACGAGGAGGTGCCGAAAAAGGCTGGCACCGACTGTGCGAGCAGGACAAGGACGAGGCGCAGAGGCCATGGCACAACACGCACACACACACACACACACACTCACACACGCACCCACACACACACACACACGCACGCACGCACGCACGCACGCACGCACACACACACACACACACACACACACACACACACACACACACACACACACACACACACGCACGCACGCACACGCACGCACGCATACACACACGCACACACACACACACACACACACACACACACACACACACACACGCACACACACACACGCACACACACACACACACACGCACGCATACACACACGCACACACACACACACACACACACACACACACACGCACGCACACACACACACACACACACACGCACACACACACACACACACACACACACACACACACACACACGGCCTTGTAGAAACATAGCACCCTCGCGCGGGGCGGCGAGGCGGAGTGCAGGGGCGTATAGGCAGTGCGCGCGGCGGCGGGGCCCGCAAGCACCACTCAGGGTGCGATCCTGGCCGTCCTGGGTCCTGTTGCCCTGAATTGTGACAGCCTTGGGGGGGCTGAATGGGCCGGCCCTGGGCGGTCGGAAGATTAAAGAAGCGGTAGCGTCAAAATCTTTCAAAGGCATAAGCAAGTTCCATGATGTTTTACATTTTCAGGGCTTCTTGGATTTACATGTGACCATTTTAAGGCTATCTTGAAGCCTTGTGGGAGTCTGTTGAGACTGTCGTGGAACCTGCCACCCACGGATCTGGACTCGAATGACCTCTTGGAGCTCCCTTTGGGTCCCTCGGGGCGCTCCTGGGGCGCTCTCGGAGACCCTGAAGACCGCCCCCGAGAGTCCTGGCATCCGTGACACTGACCGCCCGGGACCCGGGAAGCCCTGGGTAGTTTTCGTGCTGGGGCCCCCAGGAGCCGCCAGGCGAGCGCGAACTGAACCACCGAAGGAGATTTTAGCTCGCCTCTGGCCCGTTGGCCAGCGAATCTGTGGGGGGGCCCGCTCGTCCGTCGAACCCCATCTGGGGGGCCCCGATCGTCCATCGACAACAACAACAACAACAACAATCATTTTAAGACTGTTCGCCCTTATCTGCTCGAGTGTCCAATAACGCCTATTTCCCAAACCCTCGATACCCGCCCTCTTCGTTTTCGATCGAACCCCTTTTGGGGGGTATACCTTTCTTCCCTGCAGGCCGGGCCCCGGCAAGCGGCGGGGCGGCCGCGGACCGTCGGCCTGGCCAGCGGCAGCGCTGATCGGCGGGGCGGCCGCGGACCGTCGACCCGACCCCAAGAGGGACGGACAGGGGACCGACCACGACGACGACGACGACGACGACGACGACGACGACGACGTCGACGACGACGACGACGACGGCGACGACGACGACGACGACGGCGACGACGACGACGACGACGAGCGAAAGCGAGAGCGAAAGAGAACGACAGCAGGGCCACAAGGACACGAAGTAGGCCACGAAGGGCAACAGCGGGGACACTAAGGGAATGCGTATGGGGCCACGAAGAGCGCGAATGAGCGGGGGCCACGAAGGGCAGATAATGCGGGGCCACAGAAGGCAACGATGGGGCCACTGAGGGTAGCAACTGGGCCATGTCGGACAGATGCATATGGGGCCACCATGGGCGCGAACGAGCGGGAGCCACGAAGGGCATACATATATGGGGCCACGACGGGCAGCGAGGGGGCCACGAAGGGATGCAACGGGACCACGAAGGGCAGCGAGGGGGCCACGAAGGACTGCAACGGGGCCACGAAGGGCAGCGATGGGGCCACGAAGGGCAGCGAGGGGGCCACGAAGGGCTGCAACGGGGCCACTAAACAAAGCGAGGGGGCCACGAAAGACTCCAACGGGGCCACGAAGGGCAGCGAGGAGGCCACGAGGGGCTGCAACGGGGCCACGAAGGGCAGCGAGGGGACCACGAAGGGCTGCAACGGGGCCACGAAGGGCAGCGAGATCCCGATTCTTATGTCATCTGTGAGGGAGTCCTAAGCGTGAGCGCGACTCCTGGGTGCCTGGGTGTCGGGAGCGCGGCGCTTGAGTAAATTGCAAGAAATTCCAACGCAAGGGCGCTGTTCTTCAGTAAATTGCAAGCAAGTCTCCAGCGAGAGCGCGATTCCAGAGCGCCGGGAGAATAGATTCTACGGAACTCCCAAGCGAGAGCGCGATTCCTGAATAAAATGCGAGGAAGTCTCGGGCGGGAGCGGGGGCTCTGGCTAAATTGTGAGGAAGTCTCAGGCGGGAGCCGCTGTTGCTGTAAACCGGGGGCCAACGACACAGTTTGACCCTCAAGATTTTCTTTAATAAAAACAGGGTGCGAGCCTCGGGAAAGGCACTTCCATCGAAAAAACAATGTGCACCGGACGGGGGGGATCAACAATAATTAGTTTTCAGAAAGTTCAACCGCCAGAACCACAACAACAACAACAACAACCACAACAACAGCAGCAACAACAACAGCAGCAGAAACAGCACAACAACATAACAAAAAATATAAACAAAAAAACAACAAACAAAGAAAAAACTATAAATGCCGCGCGAGCCCGACACCACGGCGAGGGCAGCCGAGCCAGACCGTCGACTGGTCCCGTCGGGGTGCTATAGGGTTCGCCGAATGCATCCACACTCATCCTCCTCCCCCTCCTCCTCCTCCTCCTCCTTCTCCTCCTCCTCCTCCTCCTCCTCCTCCTCCTCCTCCTCCTCCTCCTTCTCTCCATCCTCATCATCATCATCATCATCATCAGCATCAGCATCATCATCATCATCATCATCATCATCATCATCATCATCATCATCATCATCATCATCATCCGCCTCCTCCTCGGCTCTTTCCCCCGGGTGCGCTGCAGAAGCGACCTTGGCGTGCTTGCGCGAGCGCGCTGGCACGCCCGCAGGCGATCAACCGGCTGGCGCGGCGTGAGGAGGGCTCGCACCCGCGTTGCGAGGCGAGTCGCGGCATCGTGCTTGTCAGGCCCGGCGTGTACGCGGAGAGCGTGCGCGTGACGCAGAATTGCTATGTGCCGCCCATGCCCGGGGGGGGGGGGGGCAGCCCCGCAAGCAAGAATTCAGACCAGGATTTCAGAGGAAGGCGAAGCGCACGGGCACACTTCTTCCTCCTCGTCGTGCCTCCTCCCTGCCCTTCCTGCTTCCCCCATTGTTCCTCCTCTTGGATCCGCCTTCCTCCTCCGTCCTCTCTCATCCTCCCTGGCGGCCGTCCTTCTCCCTCCTTCTGCGTCCTTCTCATTGTTCCTCCTCCCTCCTCCTCCTCCTCCTCCTCCTCTTCCTCCTCCTCCTCCTCCTCCTCCTCCTCCTCCTCCTCCTCCTCCTCCTCCGTCCTCCGTCCTCCGTCCTCCCTCATCCTCCCTGGGAAGTGCCCCCCTTCCTGGCAGCCCCATTCCCTCTCCTTCCTCTTCCTCCTGGCCGTAATCCCTCCTTTCTCGTCCTCCCTTCTCCCTCCTCCTGAGTCCTCCGCCGTCCTCCCTGCTCCTCCCTGCTCCTCCCTGGCGGCCGCCCTTTTCTCTACATCGAGGTGATCATAAAGGCTCTGACTGGACAGGAGTCCGACGAGCGCATCGCTCGAGACATCCCCACGAGCTGGGCAGCAAACGGGCGAGAGTCCGACCCCCTCGGCGTCTCCCCCCGTTGGGACCTGAGGCCAGCGCCTTGCTCGAGACATCGTCAAGGTCAGTTCCCGCGGCGCCTCCTTGGGATGGTGAAGCCAGCGTGTCGCTCGAGAGGTCCTCGCAATATGCTCCCTGGCGGCTCCCCCCCTTCGGGTGCTACTATCAGCGCCTCGCTGACGACGTCCTCAAAATCGGCTCCGAAAGCCCAGAACAAAAACGGCAGGGCAAGGGAGGCACACCGCCGGAGATATCCCAGCAATCTGGCGGCGCACGGGCCGTGCCGTCTCCCCCTTGGGGCGCGGAAGCCGGCAAATCGGCGGAGACGTCCTCGCAATCTGCTCTGAAGCCACCGAAGCCCAAGCCATCAAACAGGCAAAGCGCTCTAGACATCCCCACAAGCTGGCCGCGAACGAGGCCGTGAACCACCCCTGGCGAATCCCCCCTGGGGTGCTGAAACCAGCGAATCGGCCGAGACGTCCTCACAATCTGTTTTGAAGCCACCGAAGTCCAGGCCACCAAACAGGCGAACCGCCTGAGACATCTCCACGATCTGGCCGCGAATCTAATTCAGACATTCTTCAAACATGAGCAAACTTTGCTTGGCGAAGGACCCAACCATCCGCAGCTGCGAGCGCCGCGAGGCAAGCGAGGCGACGGATGGGGGCCAGCCGCAGGGCTGCTGTGTGCACGAGGAGGAGAACAGCAGACAGTGGTCGCGCCAGGGAGGCTGTGCTGTTTGGCCCGAGCCCCGAGCGCCAGGGGGGGATGTGTTGCTTGGCCCCTGTCGTATCCTTTTGGCGTTGCTGCACCTGTCTCTGCTGAGGCTGTGAATCTCTCCACGGCCACCTGTCACCGCAACTGGAGCCCTGCGAGCAAAAACTCCTAATGTGGTTTCCCTTCTCTCTGTTTCCGTTGCGCGTGGGCCGACATGGGCGGCGCGGACGCGTGCGAACGCAGCAGTTATTGGGGCTTTCGCTGGAGTTCCTTATGAGGCCACGAAACGTTTGAGGTGGGGTGCCGACATGGGCGGCGCGGAGGCTTGCGAACGTCGCCATTGGGGCTTGAGCTCCCGAAGTAGGCACGAAACGTGTGAGTGGTGTGCCGAAATGGGCGGCGCGGGCGCACGCGAACGTCGCCATTGCGGCTTTCGGTGGGCTTCCTAAGTGGCCACGAACCGTGCGAGGGGCTTGCCGACATGTGCGGCGCGGACGCATACGAACGTCGCCACGAGGGCGTTCGGTGGAGCTGTTTGCGGGGCCACGAAACGCGTGAGGGGCGCGCTGACATGCGCAGCGCGGACGCATGCGAATGCAGCCACAGGGGCCTTCGGTGGAGCTCCCTGCGGGGCCACGCGAGACGTGCGAGAGATACACCGAAATGCGCCGCGCGGGCGCGTGCGAACGTCGCCATTGGGGCTTCCATCGGGGCTCATGAACTCGCGAAAGGACCACGAGACTGTTCCGAACTGTCCTGCGCGGACGCACGCGAACGTCGCCACAAGGACTTTCGGTGGAGCCTCTTTTGGGGCCACGACCTCACATGTTGTATATAAGTTGCGTACGTCGCAGAATAATTTGTTTTCGCGCCCCACCCACCCCCACCCCTCCCACCCACCCACCGACCCACCCACCCACCCCACACACACACACACACACACACACACACACACACACACACACACACACACACACACACACACACACACACCTCCTCCACCCCCCACGGCCCCTGGAAAACTCCCCCCGAATTCCGCTTGAGGGGAGGGGTCCAGGGGGAGGCGGGGAATTCGCACAGTGCTTTGCGCGCGTTCCTCGTTTTGGCTCGTGATGCGAGCGGCACGCGCCCGAGGTAACAGGCGTAGCGTCGAAATATGTGGATTATGCGGTTCAGCTAAGATGGAGCAGTTGGGGACGCAAGGCCTTGAGGGGCGGAGCGGGTCCCATGTTTGAGGCCCGTCGCCCCCAGGGCCCCATCGCTGGGGGTCGCATATTTAAGCCGCCGACACTCGTTCCAGCAGGGGCTTCGGCGTTGGCGAAGCCAGCGGAAGTCGAACGGCGGTGGGTCCATTGTCGGAAGCTCGGCGATCTTGGGGCAAGGCTTGCTCGCAGTGTCCCCATTTCGGCAACGCTTGTTCGCAGTGCCCCCAGTTCCTTCTCTCCCGCCAATCAAGCTTCAGCTCACTTCGAAGTTTGGAAAATCATGCTGCGCCCAGACATCCGTCGTTTTTTCCCCAACCATCCTGTGGTGTTGGGTCCTCGTTTTGAAGAGACAGCGCCCCGCGTCCTATCCTCGTTTTCTCCTCCTCCCCTCCTCCCTCCTCCTCGTCATCGTCACGCAACCATCCTGTGGTGTTGGGTCCTCGTTTTGAAGAGACGGTGCCCCGCGCTCCTCTCCTTCCTCCTCCCCTCCTCCCTCTTTCCATCATCATCATCACCATCATCATCAACAACATCATCGTCGTCATCACCATCAGCATCATCGTCGTCATCATCGTCGTCGTCGCAGTCACCATCGTCGTCATCATCATCCCCGTCATCGTCACAATCATCGCCATCAGCTTCGGCACACCCCTTACACGTTTCGTGGCCCCATAGGGAGCTCCACCGAAGGTCCCCGTGGCGCAGTTCGCATGCGTCTCCCCCACCCAGTACAGCGCTTCGTGGCCCCATAGGGAGCGCCACCTAAGGTCCCAGTGGCACAGTTCGCATGCGTCTTCCCCATCCAGGACAGCGCTTCGTGGCCCCACAGGGAACGCCACCGAAGTCCCAGTGGCGCAGTTCGCACGCGTCTCCCCCGCCCAGGACAGCGCTTCGTGGCCCCATAGGGATCCCCACCGAGGGCCCCAGTGGCGCAGTTCGCATTCGGTTCCCCCGCCCGGAACAGCGTTTCGTGGCCCCATGGGGAGCCCCACCGAAGGCCCCATTGGCGCAGTTCGCATGCGTCTCCCCCGCCCTTCGTGGCCCCATAGGGAGTTCCACCGAAGGCCCCAGTGGCGCAGTCCGCATGCATCTCCCCCGCCCAGGACAGCGCTTCGTGGCCCCATAGGGAGCCGTCACCCCCATGTCAGCACTCCCTGACACGTTTCGTGGGCTCCACCGAAGGCCTCAGTGGTGGCGTTCCGAAGGTGGGGTTAGGTCCATGCGTTTGTTTTTGAAGGCTGCGATGTGTAACCCAGCAGCTGCGCCTCGCCGACAGCGTTCCAGGGGCGATCGCCGCAACCAGCCCGGGTGCCCGAGCTACTGGCGTTATTGCCCGAGAGTTGTCGAGGGCGTTCCAGGCCCACTGGTGGCCTCGGGGGGCTTCGGGGATGCGTCCGGAGACTTGCGGACACCTGCGTCGGAGGCCGTCGGAGTTCTGAGGAGGACGAACGGAGTGGGCTGCGGAGGAACGGAGGAGGAGGAGGAGGAGGAGGAGGAGGAGGTCGGAGGTCGGAGGAGGAGGAGGAGGAGGAGGAGGAGGAGGAGGAGGAGGAGGAGGAGAGGGAGCGGGAGGAAGATGAGGAGGAAGAGGAGGTAGCCCCCTTCGATTGGTACGAAGACGATGATGACGATGATGATGCACGGCAGGGTCATCACCACGGTGGCGTGCCAGGGGCGCACCATGCGAGAAGGCGACGGGGCGGGGGAACAGCGCCCCCCGGGCAGTCCACGGCCAAACCTCCTGGGCACGAGCGATCCGCAGCCATACCTTTTTTGGTTATGTGGATTCTCGCCTTGGGCCGTTGGCTGCCCCACGCGCTGCTCCCTCGGCCGACGTCGCCCAGGCGTGATCCTGGAATGCGGCCGCCACGAGATCGGGAACGGCAAAAAGGACGACGACGACTGGTGGCTGGAGCTTTACGCACTGCTCTCGCGCGCCACGCGCCACGAGGACCTCCTGCTCATGCGGGCGCCACGCATCGAGTTCTTCCTGGCGGGGCCGCCGGCGGGCTTGCGGAAGCAGTTGGAGCAGTTTGCTGCGCGCACGAAGCGGCGCAGGAGTGAGGCCACGACCCTCGCCAGGGAGCTGGGCTTCACCGAGTTTATCCGCGAGGCATGACCTGGGGAGCGGCCCGCCCGAGCCGCGCCATATCCAGGCTGTCCCACAGATCGGCCGGGCGCCGCGGACGACCCGTGCGCGTCGCTGGGATCTCGGGGCGACCAGCGTGCTTCGCGGGGACTCCGTGCTGCGCACTGCCCAGCGCCTCGTTCGCCCGTCGTCGCTCTGCCCGGCGCCCAGAGCCTTGCCCGCTCCCAGCCAGCCAGCTAGCTCACTTTGCTCCTCGCGGCGGACGACCCGCGTGCGTTGCTGGGACCCCTTCGGGGCGACAAGCGCGCGTCGCGGGGACTCCGCGCTGCGCTGCGCCCGCAGCCTTGGGCACTGGAGTGCGCGGGCAAAGAGGGGGAAAAAGAGCGGGAGGAAGCGGGGGCGATCCACGCCAGTGGGGGGGCCGATATGGGCGTCGACATTCATCCACGTAGATTCCCCCGCACGCAGATTCATACACAATCAGACCCACCCGTGCTCAGACTCACCCGCTCGCAGGCTCTCGCCATCAGACCTATCGTTTTCTTCCGCGCTGCGTTTCCCGCCATACATCGGCACACCCCTCACGCGGTTCTTGGCCTCATAGGGAGCTCCACCGAAGACGAGATTCACAATTGCGGCGCTCTCAACTGCGTACGGTTGGGTCTTTCGCCAGGCTAATTCGCGACAGACCATGTGCAGGACCTCCGAGTGATTCTTCACGGGGGTTAGCGCTGGGAAAGAGAAGCTCGGCCGCAGGCGGCGGAACTAAAGGTAAAACGCCAACAGATCGGGATCCGAGGTTTCCAGAAGCGGCCACACGGAGGCAAGCCAGGGACCGTCAAACCAGGGATTTTTGGCAAGCCAGGACACACTGGCGCGCCCGAGAAACTTGCAGCGGCGGGTCGAGACGCTTTCCACTTTTGGTAGAATTCCAAGTGCAGATATCAAAGTCTTGGTTTGCACAAAATCGTTCGTGTTTTTGCGAAGCATCCGACCCCGAACCATACGTCCGGGTCGGTTTGGGATGCCGCCGCGGCGATCGCGGCGGCCACAAAGCGGGACAAGGGTTTGGTCACGAAGTTGCATGCCTCTTTCTAGCCCGCCCCTCGCTCTGCGATGTAGACGTGGCTCATCGTGGCTCCGAGTGAAAATTTACCATGCAGCGACAGGGAGCTGTCAAAGTGTGTCCAACATGGGCAGGGCAGCCTCGTTCTTTTGTTAGGTCCGCTCATCATGCAACCATCCTCAAGGAAGAAAAAACCAACCCGACCCCCATAATCGGCTTTTACTGAATGGCCATGGACGCTTACTAAACAACCCCGACTTGTTCGATTCCCTCCCGCGGCACGTTTACTGAAAGGGTTCCGGTTGTCCGGATGTTCAGCTTATGGTTTCGCTCGTCGGGTTGCTCATTACAAGGGTGATTTGTTGGTTGTCCTCTACATCCTGGCCTGAGGGGGTCCGCCCTGTGCGACCCCTTCCTTGGGCACGTTTGGACAGAGCGCGTTCTGTGGTCGCTTGAAAGGGGGGGGGAGTGCAACCGGACCCCCCTCCCCCTGGATGGAGGCGAGCCCCCCCCCTTTCCCGTGACGGAGGGGGGGGGGGTCGAACCCCCCCCTCTCACCTATTTTTCCTCTCTCTCTCTCTCTCTCTTTCTCCTCGGGCCGGCGCCGGCGTCGGCGGCGGCTGGCGGCGGCGGGGGTGTTGGTGGTGGTGGTAGTGGCGGTGGTGGTGGTGGTGGTGGTGGGGTGGTTTGTGGTTGTGGTGGTTGTGGTGGGTTGTGATGCTGGTAGTAGTGGTGTTGGTTGTGGTGGTGGCGGTGGTGGTGTGGTAGATTGTGGTGATGGTGGTGGCAGTGGTGGTGGGTTGTTGAATTGGTGGTGGTGATGGTGGTGGTGGTGAGCTGTTGCGGTGGTGGTGGTGGGTGTGGTGGTGGTGGTTGTGTGGTGGTTTGGTGGTGGTGGTGGTGGTGGTGGGTTGGGGTAGTGATGGTGGTGGTCGTGGTGGTGGCGGTGGTGGTGGTGGCGTGGTGTGGTGGTGGTGTGGTGGGTGGGTGTGGTGTGGTGTGGTGCTGGTGCTGGTGCTGGTAGTGGTGGTGGTGGTGGTGGTGGTGGTGGTGGTGGTGGTGGTGGTGGTGGTGGTTTGTGCTGGTGTTGGTGGTGTTGGTGGTGGGTTGTGGTGATGGTGGTGGTTGTTGCGGTGGTGGTGATGGTGGTTGTGGTGGGTTGTGGTGGTGGTGATGATGGTTGTGGTGGGTTGTGGTGAGTTGTGGTGGTGCTGATGGTGATGGCGTTTTTGGTGGTGGTGGTGGTGGTGGTGGTGGTGGTGGTGGTGGTGGTGGTGGTGGTGGTGGTGGTGGTGGTGGTGGTGGTGGTGGTTGTGGTGGTCGTGGTGAGGTGGTTTGTGGTGATGGTGGTGGTTACGGTAATGGTGGGTTGTGGTGGTTGTGGTGGTTGTGGTGTTGGTTGTGGTGGTGGCGGTGGTGGTGGTGGTAGTATGGTGGTCTGTGGTGGCGGTGGTAGTGGTGGTGTGGCATTCGGCTCTTCCCGCCATTGTGTTTTGGCAAAGGGTCAGAGTTCAAATGGATGCCTCTTGAGGTCTCGTCAGAAGTGTCTCTGGGGCGTCTGAGGAGCATGCGAGGGCTCGATATGGCGATTTGCGTGTTCCCTCTGCGGCCTCTGGGCCCTCTCTGGTCATCGTCGCTGCGTCCCCGCCGTCGGCACTGCTGGCCGCCGCCAGCGCTGGCGCCGGCGCTGGCGCAGGGGGGGGAGGGGTTGGAACCCCCCCCCTCCGTCCTGGGCCCTCTCTGGTCATCGTCGCTGCGTTGGCGCTGCGGCGGCCGCCAGCGCCGGCGCCAGCGCTGGGGGGGAGGGGGTTTGGACCCCCCCCCCCTAGGAGAGGGGGGAGCGGGGTTCGGGAGGGAGGGGGTTAGGGGGGAGGGGAGTCCCCCTGGTTCTGATCGACGGCGCGGCGCCGAGTGTTGGGGGGGGCCCACCCCCCGTTGGAAATGCGCCGCCGAATGTTCCCAAGGCAAGCGCCCGTGAAACGCGCTCTCTACGCGTTTGCTAAAGGGCTTCGCTTGTCGGGGTGTTCACTGCGAGGGTGCTTTTTGTTTTGCCCTCTGCGTCCTGGCCTGAGGGGGCCTGCAGCAGAGAGCAGGCCTCCGCGCGCGACGCGCCCCTCCCGCCCGCAGGTGCTGGGCCTCGGCCGGCGCCGGGGCGTGGTCGTGGAGGCCCGCGCGGCGCGCCGCCGCAGCCGCCCTCGGCGAGGCGCAGTCACGCGCTGCAGTGGCAACGAGGCTTAAGTCGGTATTTTCAAAAATAGTCCAAAAATAGTTTGGGGACGACTTTTGACAATTTCGACAATTTTGGAGCATTTGTTGAATATTTGTTCACTTGTCATCCAAAATCCGGCTGTAGAAGGACATGCCCAACCTAAAACGAGGCTCGTTTCGGTGTTTTGTCACACCTGGGGCGTTCCAGAAAGGGCCTTGCCTTCGAGGATCGAGGGAGTTGCCATCTCTTCCGCCGCGGAAGATCGGCGGAGGTCAAGCGAGGCCGCCTCCGCCGGCGGAAGCCCGCGGAAGCTCGCGGGAAGCGGCGGAGTAAAAATGCGCCCCCGAGAGATGAAGAAACGTTTTTGGGTTCAGGGTTTCGCGAACTTGGCGCTTGAGCTGGGCCTCGGGCGGCGCTGGGGCGTGATCGTGGAGGCCCGGGCGGCCCGCGGCCGCCGCGCGCCGCCGCCAGAACTCACCTTCGGCGATGCGCGGCCGCTGGAGGGCAGCCCCCACCTGGATCACCGGATGCCAGAAGCTTCGACGGCCGTCGGCGGGGCTCGAGAACCTCGAACTTCGAGATTGGAGGTTTTCGGGCGTCTTCGTCGGTTCTCGGCGGCTTTCCAGCCTCGTGGTGCGCTCCAGCAGCTGCGCCTCGCCGCGGGCGTTCTGGGTGTGCCCAGATCGTTCCGAACGGCCGCGGGAGAGCCGTGTTATATCTTGAGAATTGAGGGGCACCGATACCTTGAACACGGGATGCCAGGATTTTCTGGCCGCGACTGACGTGATCAGTCGCTACGGTACCGATTTTGCTTGAAATTCCGGTACCGGTCGCGAGCGATCTGTTTCAGAAGCGATTGCGGCCGATCGGTCGCGACAGGTCGGGACCGATTTGGAAATCGGTCGCGATCGGTCGCCACCGATGTGGAGTGCCGATCGATCGCTCCCGATCGCGGCCGAAACATGTCTGGCATCCAATGACCTGGGCAGGGCCCGAAAGCCTCCACAAGCACCCCCCGAAACGGATCGAACGCCTCCAGGGCGGCCGCCGATGGCCGCCGACGACGGCCGCCGAGGGTCTCCGGACACCGCAAGTGGGAGGGCCCACGATGGCCGCCGAAGGCCTCGGGCGGTCGAGCCCTGAGTGCAGCTGCGCCGGTCGTGGAACAAGAGCCAAAAGACTTCTGGGGGTCCACGTTCTGGAGAGGCACACGTCGTCGGAGGCAGGGGAAGCCATCGACTACATCGAAGTATTTTGCGCCGCTTGCGGCGCTTGCGTTGCACGCGTTGGGGAACGCCACACGGAAGCGGAGCTTGCTCGGCGTTGCAAGTGTTCTTTAGCCAGGCTTGTTCCTTGGGCGCTGCTTCAGTGGAGGTCAGGGTGATCCTGTGGTGTGTCCTGTCATCGAGCCGTTTTGTCATGTCATGCATCGCAGATGTTTGCAAGCAGCAGGGGTGGTTTTTCTCGTTTCCTCCTCATCCGATGCTCTCCTTCTACACTTCGCGCGTCCTCTCGCGCACCTTTCGTCGTGACGACGCGTCGGGCAAGGGCCCACTGTTGAGAGGCGGCGTCGGGCACGGACCCTGGGAGCCGGCGCACGGGCGCCCCCCCTGCAGCGCCCGGGCACGGCTCGCCGAGTCCGCCGGGTGGGGCGAATGTTTCCGGACGGGTCCAGGGGAGCTCGTCAGAGCGGCGTGGTTGATTCGTGAGTACACCTTAGGCGATGCTTAAGAAAACTCAAGTTTTCGGCCAGAGTCTCGATTATTCTTATTGTTTCAATGGAAATCCTAACTTTTTACTAGAAATTGGGGTTTTTGTTCAAATTCTGAGACTATGAATGTCTTAACCCATGATTTCTTAAGCATTTCGCAGGGTGTATGTGTGAAGCGTGGATTTCGGACCTGTGCGGTGCAAGTTCGGATTCAGCCTGGGGCTGCAGCTTGTAGAGTCCAAAGCCCGGATGGCGGGGCGCCAGGACACCTTTCATCACCTTCTCAAAAAAGCTTTTTGGAAAATCCTGGAAGGAGCTTCCGAAGGAGCTTCTGGAGAGCTTCTGGGAATACGTATTGGGAAGGCTCAGACAAGGCCTCTCGGTACAAGTTGCACCTTCACTGGAGTTGTTGCGAGGATTCCTGCCGGAAATTGGAACGAGCTCTGGGGCTACCCTGCGGCTCCAGCTTCTAATCTGAAACCTTCTTAGCTCTCGTAGACACGTTTCCCGAGACGCTCGGAAACTGGTTATTCTTAGTCAATTCTCGCGGGGCGAAGGTCGTGGAAGGTTTGCGGGGTGCCGTTGCGTGGGCCGTCGACGTTGTCGTCGTCGTCGTCGTCATCGTCGTCGTCGGTGGGGAGCAGCACCAGGCGGTGCTTCCGCTCAAGCGCCTGCGCCCAGCGGGTCGGATGCATGGTGTTTGTCCCCCGCCTCTTCTCGGCAGCGCGCCGAAGGGGGAAGTGAGAAGGAGCGGGCCTCCTAAGGAGGCTCGGAAGTCCACCCCGCTTTCTGGGAAGTTTTCTAAGCCTTCCCCGAAGACACCGAAAACTTCTCAAAAGGCGCGAGGGCTTCTGAGCAGTCCCCCCCGCCGCCTTCCGAGAAGACCTTCTCCTTCTCACTTCCCCCCCTCGCTCGCCGCCGATCTTCACCAGTGGCTCGGTCCCCAGACCCCATGCACCGATCCAGCCGTGAAGCATGACTGTGTAGTCATGCTCGTGGAGAGCCGTTCTTGCGCCAAGAGCGCTCCCTGGGGGTCTCCTCCAGGCCATCCGCCCTCCACCTTCACTTACCCGTTTTGGGCATGTCGTCAACCCGGATCTGAGGCACAGGCAAGGGCGAGCGGCAGGTGCCATGGAATGTGGAATAAGGCTCGGTTCACATGCAAGCGAAAACGCCTGCGAAAAAGTGGTAACGGCCTGGGTCCCCCCGTACGGTGCCACAGTGAGCGTAAAGGTCATGTGAAGGCGCACCCCAAATTGCAAGACATGCGTAACATCATATTCAAAAATACACATCAGCAGTAATGCAGGGTGGCAGCATGACTGCAGCGCCGTAGCGTATGCTCAAGACAGGCTTGGAGCGGGCCAGGGCGCATAGTTGCAGCCACAGGTAGGTGCGGCTGAAGTGCCCCCGTTCGCTTCGACCGCACCGCATGAGCGGCGCGACCGCACGGGCAGAGCCGGCCGACTTTGGGGCGAGGCGGTGAGGAACACACCGTTCCGCCTTTCACGTCCGCGGCACGGGCCGCGCCTCGCTCTGGGCCCCCAGAGAGCAGGAGGGAGGAGGGAGGGAGGGAGGCGGGGAGGGAGGGAGGCAGGGAGGGAGGGAGGCAGGGCAGCAAGAGGCAGAGATCTTTCAGCGACGTCACTGCCGCCGGACAGAGCGCGGGCGCGACGAGAGAGCCTTCCTGGAGCGCCCCGGGGGGGGCGCGCACCGTCCCCACCGAGAGCGCGGAGCGGGCGCAGAGCGTTGCCGAGCTCGTGGCCGGGCGCTGCTTGGTGGCCGTCCAGTTCGACGGCGCTGCCAGGGCACCCCTGGCTGAGGCATCGCTCGGGCGTGTGCACTTTTTCCTGGCGACGGCCATCGAGGAGCAGTCTTCATCATCTAGCGAAAAATACACGCACGAAATCAAGAAATGCACGGGGAATGGACGTCCGAGCGATGGCGAGCTGGGGGAGGCGAGGCCCCGAAGAAGGCCCCAGACGGGCCCACCACCTCCCGGACACCGCCAGCGGCCCGACCGTGCTCCGTGCAGCAGCGCTCCAGACATCACGCCCGGGCAAGACGAAGCCATAGGGGAGCAAACAATGGCGTGAACACAAAAACTCGGAGGTCCGCGCGGAATTCTCGCACCGGCGCTGGGGCCCCCATGGCGGCGCCTCCTGCGCCGCCACTGGCGCGCCCCGCGCGCCAGGGAGGGGGGTCCAGCGCGGATCCAAGAAACCCGCGCGGACCTCCGAGCTTTTATGTTCACGTCATTGTTCGTCCCCCTGGTTCCGCCCCGAACCCCCAGGCACACCCACGGTGGCGCTGCCTGGCTCGCTTCGCCACGCCGCCTCCCCCCCCCCGCACGAGACACCGTCTGGGAGGCCTCCGCATGGTATGGAGAGTGGGGCGAAAGGAGGAACCCTTTTCGTCTGCGAGGGGCTCCGTGCTCCTCGATCGTTTTACACTTTGCCTCGGGTGTTCCGCTCGGTTCCCGATGAGGGAACGACGTTGAACGTACGGAAAAAAGAGGCCCCATTCCTTGGTTCGGGTTCCTTGCGGCAGCGCTTCGACTGCATGGGGGGGCGGGGCGCCAAGGCGCCGCCCGGCCTCGGCCGCCCCCGCGGGCCCCCCTCCCCCCAGGGCCGCGTGCCCGCGCCGCTCCCTGCGCTCCCTGTCGCGTGCTTTCGACCCACGCCTGGGTGCCGTCCTCTCTGCTCGCCCCCCGCCGAGCCGCGCGCCCCAGCCAGAAGGGCTCGGCGCACGCGCGGCCTGCCGCGCGGCGCCCGGAAAGCTTGTGTCCGCATCAGTGCTATATCTCTCTCTAACTCTCTTTATCTCGCTCTTCTTTTTTCCTCCTTTTTTTTTTTCTCTCTCTCTCTCTCTCTCTCTTTTTCTCTCTCTCTCTCTCTCTCTCTCTCTCTATATATATATATAAATATAAATACCCGCGCACGAGGCCCTTGCGCCCGGGGCTAGGGCCTCGAGCGCGCATGGGGGGACCGGGGCCTCCGAGACCGCTCCCAGAGCACCCCGGAGGGAGCCCCCAGACTGCCCCAGAGAGCTCCAAGACACTCCCAGAAGCCCCCGGGGGACTTCGGCAAGCCCCTCCAAGACAGCCCAGATGGCCCCAACGTGGCCCAAGATGGGCTCCAGACCGTAAATACACAGCCCAAGAGGCTTCCAAGAGTCCAAGAGGGCCCAAGAGAGCTCCGAGGTACGTCCCGAGAGAGTCCGAAGGGGCCCATATCCTTGATTTCCGGATGTTTTTTGAATGTTTTTCGGTGTCTCGCGTTTTCGAGCTTCCGACGCTCCACGACGGCCGACGACGCCCCTAAGACCGCCCCGAGACCGGCGAAGAGGCCCCCAACAGAGCCCCAAGACGGCCCCAGGGAGCTTGAAAATTGCCCAGGA